ATCTGAGAGTTTAGAGAATAGAGAGGTTGTTCTTTATTCTAGAGATTGTGAGGAAGAGATTTGTAATCTATTGTTTTTTTATAATCTAGAGAAGGTATTTTTCTTCGCCATATTGAATTGTTCTTGTTATTTTTATCGAAAGTTGGCTTCATTGTGGAATTCATTATATTTTTTATTGTTTACAATGAATTCAAAAAAATAGCCTTTTTATAAGATCTCTCTTACACAATAAGAAGAAAATTACAACTCTCTAGAAAATAACACAGGAATTGTTTAACTCTTGCTTTTGTGGGATCTTTGCCTGTGTCGGGGGTGCGTTAACCCGTGGACCACGGATTTACAGATTCTAATTGAACCGTGAAGCCTTTTGGATGTTCTTCTTCATTTATCGAAGTAAGAATCTTAAGCGAATATCTTATCGATGTAAGATGTTCACTCTTCTAAAGATCAAGTCAGAGCTTAGATCTTTAGAAATCGCCAAAAGATTCTTAAGGATGTTTGTGAAGAATGAAGACTCTCTCTTGCTCAAATTTACTAAAAGCTCAAGTCTCTCTGCTCTAATCTGCCCTCATGTCCTCTGCTTCGTGCGTAAAGAGGTATTTATAGGGATATGGGTTCATAACTGTTTTTCATAGGCTTCATTGTGGAATTCATTATATTTTTGATTGTTTACAATGAATTAAAAAAAATAGCCTTTTTATAAGACCTCTCTTAAACAATAAGAAGAAAATTACAACTCTCTAGAAAATAACACAGGAATTGTTTATCAACTCCTGCTTTTGTGGGATCTTTGCCTGTGCCGGGGGTGCGTTAACCCGTGGACCACAGATTCACAGATTCTGATTGAACCGTGAAGGTTTTTGGATGTTCTTCTTCATTTATCGAAGTAAGAATCTTAAGCGAATATCTTATCGATGTAAGATGTTCACTCTTCCAAAGATCAAGTCAGAGCTTAGATCTTTAGGAATCACCAAAAGCTTCTTAAGGATGTTTGTGAAGAATGAAGATTCTCTTGCTCAAATTCACTAAAAACTTAAGTCTCTCTGTTCTAATCTGCCCTCTTGTCCTCTGCTTCGTGTGTAAAGAGGTATTTATAGGGATATAGGTTCATAACTGTGGAAATGGAGGTAAAATAATTGACCAGTCAAACTTTCTTTGGGCGCGTCAGTCTCCACTGTCGCGGCCTTTAGCGCGTCAGCGTAGACTACCGCGGCTGAAGAGGCAGTTTCAGCCACGTTTATAACTGTTCTCCCATGATTTTTTACCCACGAAATGCCACTTTTCTCGGCTTGTAACTATCCCCCCACGTCAGTGCACGTTCTCCTTTAGTTATGCCACGTGGATCCTCAGAAGGTGCAAAAAACCGTCAGCAAATCATAAGAAAACACCCCATGAATACGCGCGTCAGTGATGACTGCCGCGCCTACGCGCGTCAGCGGTGACTGCCACGCCTATGCGCGTCAGTGTACGTTGTTATGTGTATTCATGTTGTTCTTCCATGTTGCTTCACCTCTTCCTTTGCTTCTTTTGGCTTTGGGTGATCCCTTATGACCTAGATAATGACATTCATTGTCTTCTTTTTGTCTTGAGCTGTATTTGGATATCTGTAAGTATTTTTAGACGCCTACAGATACCCCCTCCAAAGTATCTCAGACTCATTCTTTTATAGAGGAGTCTGGGACACTTTGGATAAGACAAGTCTTATTTGCAATCCCTTCAATATTTAGTTAAGGAGATCGTGTAGAAGGACCTGTGAACGGCTTCAACTCTTGACTTCTTCATCTTTTAGTCTACTCAGTGTTTTGTAGAATAGCTAAAATTTTTTCGGTGTTACGTTTATCGCTTGACCGTTGTCGAAATCTTGAACTGAAACTGATGTTTTGATTTGTGAATTAGCTCTTAACATTGAACTGATGTTGAACTGATTGTGTTCATTGGGAATTCATATCTGAATCACAATTGAATCCCCTGGAATCATTCATTAACTTGGAATTTTTTCTTAACCTTATTTTGGCGAAAATCATTGACGCGTTGACCGGCGTTAACACAGTTTATCCTCGTGCGTCTCGTGCGTTTACTGGAGTCTACCTAGTTTAAGTTCTTAAGGCGTTGGAGCATGACGGTCCTGAGTGTCGAGGTTGCAGGACCAATTATTCATGTCGGTTCATCTGCAGGTATGTATTTTATCCTGAGTTTGTCGGATACTCAAGTCACGAGACCAACTAATGAAGCTGGTGTGTCAGTGATTATCGTATTTATAGGATTTTTGACAAACCCTCAGCCATCAACGGGTTTGATGAGCCTATACCGACTATCGTTTGAATAGGGCTAGCATGCAGATTGTTTAAGTCCGTTCTGTATGTAACGTTGTGCTAAAAGAATAAACTCTCTTAGAAGCATGCAGATTGTTTAAGTCCGTTCTGTATGTAACGTTGTGCTAAAAGAATAAACTCTCTTAGACTTGATGCTATGATGTTGAATACATAGGTTCTGTATGTAACGTTGTGCTAAAAGAATAAACTCTCTTAGACTTGATGCTATGATGTTGAATACATAGGTTTGGTCGTTTTCGTGGGAACGGACCACCCGGTAACGCGTATTAGACGTATGCTTATCTCTAATAATGGATCAAGATAAAGTCCCCCATGCATCAAACATGGATTCGGAAATGTTGATGGGTTACGTCTTTTTGGTTAAAAGATGAACCTGATACTGGAGAGGAAGAATTTCATTCTATCTCCTGGTCTCTTTTTTATTGGTAGAGATGAACCCGATACTGGAGAGCAAGAGTTTTATATTCTATCTCCTGGTCTCTTTTTTATTGGTAGAGATGAACCCGATACTAGAGAGTAAGAATTTTATATTCTATCTTCTGCTACAAAAAAAACTCAGTGGGATCTTCACGTCGAGAATCCAAAAAGGCGAAACTAAGAGTGGGATCTCCACTCCGAGAATCTGAAAGATTTTGATAACCCTAACAGTCGGAAGGTTTGATTACCCAATCTGAAGGTGAATTTCTCGTTTATCAAGATGAAATTCAAATTTTCGTCCTAATTGTTTAAATGTTTGACTGAGTCGGGAATGTGTAGACCTCTCATTCATGGAAGGAATCGAGAGGGGATTTTGGCTTTGGACCTAACTGTTTAAAGGTTTGACCAAATGAGAATGAGGCTGATGAATGACTTGTTGCGATATTTCATAGAGGATTTTGTGATAGTTTACCTCGATGACATCTTGGTGTATAGCAGAACTTGGGATGAGCATTTTGTTCATGTCGAGAAGGTGTTTGAAGTGTTGTGGGACGATCAACTGAAGCTTAATGGGAAGAAGTGCGAGTTTGGGAGGGACCAGGAGGGACGAATTGGTGTATCTCGACTTCATCGTGGGGAAGGGCCAGCGGAGGATAGATCCAAGCAAGGTTGCGGTTATCACGAAATGGTCGATGCCTAAGACAGTAACGGAGGTGAGAAGCTTCATGGAGGCTTGCTAATATTTGCGCAAGTTTATTCGATGCTTTTCTATTTATGTGGCACCCCTACATGGCCTTACTAAGGCTAAGGTTCAGTTCGAGTGGGGTTCGAGTGAGGTCGGACTCATAAGGAGGTTTTTCAGTTATTGAAGAGGAAGATCTCGGAGACACCAATGTTAACGTTGCCTAATTTGCAGAGGACCTTCGAAGTAGAGACCGACGCTTCTAGCTATGCTATGGGCGCCGTGTTAACACAGGATGGGAAGCCAGTGGAGTACCATTCTGAGATGTTTACAGGTGTTATTCAGAACTATCTAACTTACGATAATAAGTTTTATGCGTTCTACCAGGCAATCAAGCATTGGAGGGTGTACCTGTTGGGTAAGAAGGTGGTTGTGCACTCGAATCACAAGACGTTGGAGTTTCTACATGCCCAGACGAGACTACAACAGGCACGACACATGAAGTGGATGTCTTATTTGACGACGTTCAACATCATCATTAGGTACAAAAAGGGGGCGACTAACAAGTTGGTCGATATGCTATCTCGATCGTCGGTAAGGGCTTTGTTGGTGGTGATGCATATTCAGTCTTTGGTTCTCTTGGGGTATGCACAAATGTACACATTCAGCAGAGACTTCGGCAGTGTGTTCGAGCAAGTGAAGGTAGGTCAAAAGGGGGAGTATGAGCTCGGAACAGATGGCTTGTTGTATCGTGGGACATTGCTTTGTATTCCGGAGGATGGCGATCAGTTGCAGTGGATTAGAGAGGCACATACTGTTGGAAATTCGTGCTAAT